CTGCATCATAAAACGATGCAGGCCAACTGGCATCAGTACATTGAATGTACGAGTATGCGAGTTGGAAAGCTAAACCACAACTTAGGCTTGAAAAGAGTGCAAGAGAACACTTACCTTGGCTCTATTCGACTCATGAATAACTGAACTCAATATATAAAGCAATAAGACACATGCAATATATAAAGCTTGTAAAACAATGTAAACAACTTAGCTTGTTTAAAGATAAAACAATAACAACTCACTTTACTTATATAAAAGTAATATAACTTTAGTGGGAGATTCTTTAACCGACAATCACCACTATGAGCCCTAGTGGTGATACAACATTTTACTTCACGTTGCCCAAGGACCATCCTATACCTTGCCGTGATATAGGAAGCTAACTTTACTAAGTGGATCCACTAGCTTAACTTACGGAATCATCTAAAAAGTATGACCTGTTAACTCTCATGTTGGCGCATGGTTCTTATGGAGTTGAGTTTATATGAACTCGTGTCCCCAATTCGGTGCTCAAGACTACTCCCCAAAATACTTAGCTCATAAGTGTTTTAAACACATCTTTCTTTATTTGAGATAATTACTCAAAACTTTGCCCGAAGGCTCACTTGGAATCGATGTTCCTTTTTCTTGAAAACTAGCCCAAAGGCTCTTTTGGAAACGTAGTTCCTTTTTCTTACTCAAATGTAAAAACATTTAGAAACTTCTTTGGAAATACATAGTTCCCTAATACTTTTGAGAAATGAACTCAACTTTAAACTCTTTACTCTACTAGAAACTATTGACTCTTTACTCTTTACTTGACTTGAAACTTGAGCCTTAAATTGAAGTTAAAACATTCAATAAAGACTCTTGAATAACTTTAAAAACTTGCTTGACTTGCTTCTTAACTTCCAAGCTTAACTCTTAACTTCACTTGACTTGGAAACTATCTCTCCTTGAATTGGATTTATAGATTCAAGGTGTTTGATCACATGATATGGATGAGTTCTTGACGTTTAGACATACCTTGGAGTGTTGAAAACAACTATGAAACATAGGTACAATACCTAGGAACATGTATGAAAAAGTGGGGAAGGAATAGGAAAACTTGGCGCTCTGAGAGGCGCAGAGCGCCAGACCAGAAACTTCAGAGGAGGCCTGCTGGCGCTCTGATGGGTGCGCCGCCCCAAGGGGGAAAGTTCAGAGCCCCTCTTGGGGCGTGCTGACAGGCGCGACGCCCCACCCTTTTCCCCCGAAAACTAACTTTTCTCCTTAGTTTTCTCCAACTCTAAACCTTCTACACTTCAAAGTTTCCAGCCCCAAACACTTAAAATCATGAACCTCTCAACATACAATAGATTCAACTCAAAAACACCACCCGAAACATAACTAAACCAACAAGAACTTCAACACAACACAACTACAACTTCAACAATTACAACCAACAACTTCAACAAACATACTCAATCTTTTCTCGAAATTAAACGAGCTTGGCGTGTGGGGGAAAGAACCAACCCAACACTATGAACTCACATACCTTAATAGGGATCAACCCCGAAGAAAACCACGACGATCTTTACGAAGTTTGCTTCTTCTTCTCCTTTCACTCATTTTCTCTCAAGAACCCTAACTCTTACTCTTTTAAAAAAAAGGAAAAACTGATCAAAATCAGTCTCACCTTAATGTATATCCAAAGTCAAGGCTAGGGAAAAGACCAAAATACCCTTACAATTTACGGACGGATTCCCTGCCAACTGCCCAACTTCGAAAGGGCATAACTCGCTCATACGAACTCGCAAACGAGAAAACTCAGCGGCATTGGAAAGATCATTCCACGGACTTTGCAAACATGACTGGAACTACACCTAACTCATCCTGAGCTAGGAGTTATGACTGTCAAAGTTGGCCAAAAACTCACTTTTTCCCATACTTAACCAAATTTTCCAGATTTTTAATTCTTTCAAAAAAACTATTTCCAAGTTTTAACCTCTTCATAGAATTTAAAATCGCCGGACGTTACATTAATATAATATATATTTAATAATTAATGTATTAGATATTTTATTTAGAATATAGATAATATGATAATCCAACTTTGCACTTTGACCAACTTAACAAATTTATACTCAGTTGTTTACAAATTAAAAACATAACTTAAATGAAATATTATGATATAAAAATATAAACTTAAGCTGCAATAAACAATTATCATTTACTGTGAGGGGCGAAAACAATGATGCGACCACAAAATTAGTTAGAAGTGTTCAAACTTGGAGAAGTGGTATTTTCTTAAAAATGAATAGGTGCATGAAAATTTTCAAATCAAACTACACAATATTTAGTTGAACAATAATATTAAAATTTATTTATGTAGAAAAATATTTTTTTTAAAAATAAAAAGAAAAGTCAAGCAAATACTGGCTGAGAATTGGTTCCAAAAATCAACAATGATCTTTTCATTATCATATTCTTAATGTCTTTCCCATTTAATTATATTTAAAAGTTTATTCAACGTTTTTATTTAACACCTTTTCGCTATTAGTATTTTATATAATATATATGATATTATTTGATATTTAATAAATTAGATATTTTATTTAGAATAGAGATAAAGTGGTAATTCCATTTTGCACTTTGACGAAGTTCACAAATTTATGCCAAGTTGTTTACAAACTAAAAACATAACTTACATAAAATATTATGATATAAAAATATAAACTTAAGCTACAATAAAAAAAAAATACCATTTATTGTGAGAGGCAAAAACAACGGCATAACGACAATATTAATTAAGAAAAAAAAGTGTGTTCATACTTAAAGAAGTGGCATTTTTTTAAAAATGAATAGGTGAATCAAAATTTTCCAATCAAAACTACACAATATATAGTTAAACAAATAATTTTAAAATTTATTTATGTAGAAAAATAATTTAAAAAGAAAAAAAAAAAGTCAAGCAAATACTGTTTGAGAATTGGTTCCAAAAATCAACCATCAACCACTTCACTTGATTCCAAAAACCAAGACAACAAAAAAATACATAATTGCAGTTGTTGGTGCATCAACATCATAGCTTCTTTTTTATTATTATTATTTTATAATAATAATGTAACATTAAAATGCCATTTTTTCTTCTTCTCAACTTACTTGATAAGGACTAATTGAATAACGTTTTTCTAACAAATATTTTTATGGACTGTCGGAAATTATATAGAAAGACTTTACTTTAATAATTCAAAACAATACTAAACTTAAACTAATCTATTTTCACATTTGCAGATATCTAACAATAAAGCTTTTTAAATAAGTGAATTATGTTTTTCAACATTTGCTTCTTGTAAATCTGCAACAAGGCAAACTACCATTTGAGAGGAATTATTAGCTTGGAAGTAAAGAAAAAGGTATGATATAATTTTTTCTATTTCATTCTACATGTATTTTTGTGATTCACTTGATTTGAAAGAAACATACATAATAAGAATTAGAAAAATATTTATAGAATGATCTGATAATTTAAGATCGGTCCCCAATCCTCTTCCCTTTCCTTTTTAAACTGTTCAATTTTCTCATGTTTAATAAGTACGAAACCCTTTGTACCAACCACACCCATATAGGGTCCAAGCTTGTAAAGGAAGATTAAGGTTCTCTAATCATGATATGAAGAAGACCTTTTAACGTAGTTTATGTAGATATATATCTTGATTGGCTCTACATTTAAGATCTTAATATATCATGATACGGAAAACAATTTTAATATAGGGTGTTCAGTACAGAGGAAATATATATTTTTCAATGTTTTCATGTTTGATTACTTAAGTATTTAGAAAATATATCAAACACACCCATAAAAAAATAACAAATTTTATTAGTTAAATTAATATTTTTTAGAAAATAATTTCTTTCATACCAAACACACTCCTGGTTTGTATAATTTGAGATCTCGTCTCTCTAGTACTTCCTCCATTTCATATTAAGTAATTTTTTTTAGGGTTTTTTCATTGTTCAGAATAATTGAATTGTTTAAAATTCAAAAAGGATGTTTGAATATTTTTCCATATTTACCCTTTTATTTATTGGAGTTTTATATTTTCTAGGAGATAAATTACACTACTTACAAAGTTATATTTATGATTTCTCAAAAGATAATAGTGGAAATTATGATTTAAATTATGTTCTTAAATGTTTTGCTTAATATGTGTGCATTGTCTCACAAATTCAGTTAATATGGAATAAATGGAGTATACATTATGGTCCAAATTCTTGAAAATTTATTAGTGTGTGTACTTGTGCGCCACTCTGAGTACCTTATCAAATCTAATCAACGTAAAATAGTACTTCCTCCGTCCCATTTTATATGATGTACTTTGATTTGGCACAAACTTTAAGAAAAATGGAAAGACTTTTAAAATTTGTGGTCCAAAATGAATGATAGAAATTTGTGTGGTTGTAAATCATTTCATTAAGGGTAAAAAAGACATTTTATAGGCAAATTGTTACTTAAAATAGAAATGTGTCATTCTTTTTGGGACTGACTAAAAAGGAAAGTAAGTCATATAAATTGGGACAGAGGGAGTATATATTTTGACATGCTATTTGTTACTTTCACCAATTCATGTATTTACTTAAAACAGTAAATTACTAGGTATAATTATAATTCAAAACTTATAAACTTAATAATTAACATTCTTAACTCTCTTGCTTCTTGCATTTCCCTTTACTTGTGCATGTGATTACTATCTTCTAATTTTTATCCTTATTAAATATGCATGTGATCATAAGTTGAAAAATCAATTCTTTAGAAATTGAAGGCTGGTTCGAGGTTGGAGATTCAATGGAAAAAGAAGGAAAGCCATCGGTATGTCTATCATTACAAATTTTACATGCTCCAAATTAGTAGTAATTAAGTTTTACATATAAATTATACTTATTTTTCTAGCAATTATTAGTTTTACATATTTTTGTAACTATTATTTTGAGAATGTGTGTTGCATATTTGGCCCCAATTACTTATAAGATTTTTTTTTAAAAAAAATACTTATGCTAAAATCTTTAAACAACATTCAATAATCATAATGACAAATTAAAACAATGATGACATCATATGATATGTTAAAATTGTCTAAGGGGCTAGATAATATACTTGAGCTGATAAAATCCCATAAAATATCAAACTAATGATTACTATGTGTATATATATATATGAATAATTGGACAGTACAATAAAAACTTGAATCTAATATTACATGTTCAATTAATTTATAAAAAATGACAAACTTACAAGAAAAAAATCAAAAAAATTGAAATATAGAATGAGAGTTAAAGGGAAACATTTATAACCAAGTCAATTAACGTGAAAAGCAATACAATATATTTGTCGTCATATCATACGAAATGAATATATTAATAAGAAAAAAAAAAAAGAATGATCAATAAATAAAAAATTATATAAGAATTATAAGATGATAAAATACAAAAATGTTGTAAATTAATATTTTTTTGTCAAATTTATGAAGGAAGGGAGACTATATGTACATGAAAAGTTGTGAATGAGTATATTTAATTACCGAAGCTAAAAAGATTAACAATTAAAAGGGTACCCCCAATATATTAAAACCCATTAAGAAGTGGGAACTGTTAAGTCATATTTGACTTTTCGATTGATTGTGTACATAATTTCGATTGATTGCGTAGCCCAATACTGCTCCTCCCAACTTATTAGGGAGGGCCCCATAAATGTTTTTTTTTTTTGTAAAATCATTTGGAAGTTATATCACCAAAATATTCATGGATTAACATACGAAAAAATCGAGACTATGCGTATTGTTTCCACAACTAATTACTGAGGATCCGTGAAGTATTTTTTTAAAAATGATTCAAAAGTCATATCACCAAAATATTGATGAGCTAATAAAGAAGAAAAACTGAGAATTACTCATTTGGGCTAATTCAATTCGTCCAAGTTTCTTACTAAATTTTCATTTCTTTAATTATTGTCTCTATTGAAACAACAATTACGTATTACTATGTTTTAATTTAGGAGGTGCCACTTGAGGAAAAAAGAAGAAGAATCAGGAATCTTATTGATGATTTATTGAATGGGTTGAAGAAAATTCAGAATGAAGAAGAAGAAGAATTCCTTGATTCAAAATGGTATGACATTGAAAAGCTAAGAATGGAAGTGAGATTCTTAAGAACATTTGTCCTGTTTGGGAATTCAAGTTTGGGCAAGGACTTTTATGAGAGGATGTCCAACAAAATAAACAAGTTCAGTGTTATGACTCAGTCACTACTTAATGATGAAGTAATTCTAGAGAAATACAACATGGATGGTGTTGTCCCTCTGCTGCTGGAAGAGATGCAAAGTTATTTGAGTTTAAAGAACGATAATTATGTAGCAATGACCACAGAGGAGAAAATGTTTGAATACCTCTGGATAGACCTTCATGATCTACCAAACAGTACTTCTTATTCGGATGATGACTTTTATGAGAGGATGTCCAAGCAAATAAACATTCTTCGCCAAGTATTCCGTCGTCTGACAGATTTCTATCCTATCCTCCTGGCCAACAAAACAACTACTACTCAATATCTCTTTCCTCGCTTCCAATTCATCGCCCGTAAATTTCTACAATTCTATTTTGATATTTGGACTGGAAAGTATAAACCAAGTTATGAAGCTGATGAGTACTCTTCCAAAGTCTCTTCTCTACTCATCAAGATAATCCCTCTTGAGCTGGAGGTTCTATACATTTCTACTTCTAAGCTCATAAAAGAATCAACGTCAACTCAATTAAAACGGTTTGTGAAGCAAATCCTGAAAGCATCTCCAAAGATTCTTCAAAATTATCTCATTCATCTCCAAGGACGCATGGTAGCTGTCAATTACTCTCAAACTCAAAGTATTAATGTCATGATCGAGTTCCTATTGATCTTTCTCACCGATATACCAAAGCGCTTTATCCATCCTGAAAAATTGAACGATATGTTGGCACATGTCGCACTACTTACAAGGAAGATATCTACTCTCATGGAGGAGAGCTCTAATATGGATGAAGCAAATTTTTCAGCTCCAGACTTGTTGCAAGAAATTGAACGAATGAAGGGAGATATCAAAAAGATTTTTTTGAAAGCCCCGGATCAGTTTCATGTGGATGATGGTTTCCTCTTCATGAATCTTCTACTCAGACATTTAAATGATTTGCTCATTTCCAATGTCTATTCAGTTATGCTGATAAAGAAAGAAATTGGGATGGTGAAAGAAAGCCTCGAATTCCTAAGATCATCTTTCATGAAAGTCAGGCAAACATTGGATGACAGTAGTGGAGTAGTTAAAGATTGTTGGGTGCGTGCTTTAGATGTGGCATATGAGGCAGAACATGTCATTAATTCCATTCTTGTCAGAGATAAAGCTCTCTCGCATCTCATCTTCTCACTTCCGAGTGTCACTGATAAGATCAAGCTTATCGTGGCAGAAGTCACATGTTTACAGCTGGAAGATAAGAATGGGGATGGCCCCCTTGATGCAAAGTCTTCCAACGAGCCAATTGAGTCAACCTCGTCATCTTTTGTTGAGGTAACAGTTGGTCATGAAGAAGATGAAGCCAAGATGATTGACCAGCTCCTTGATAAACATGAATCCGAGCTTGATGTCATTTCCATTGTCGGAATGCCAGGACTCGGTAAAACTACTCTGGCCAACAAAGTGTATAACAATACATTAGTTGCTAGTCATTTCAAGATTCGTGCTTGGTGCACTGTTTCCCAAAAGTATAACAAGTCAAAGGTGTTGCGGGAGATTCTTCAGCAAGTTGATAACTCTGAAGAAAACGAAAGTGAGGATCACGACCTTGCTGAAAAGCTACGAAGAGCATTGTACGATAAAAGGTACCTCATCGTCTTGGATGATGTGTGGGATATTGCAACAGGGGAGATGTTAATAGCATGTTTTCCAAAGTTTAAGAGAGGAGATAGAGTTATCTTAACTAGCCGAAATAGTGAGGTAGGTTTGAAACTGAAATGCCATAGTGATCTTCTCTGCCTTCAACTTTTAACATTTGGAAAAAGTTGGGAGTTATTCGAAAAAATGGTATTTGGAAAAGAAAGCTGCCCTGCTGAACTGTTGGATGTTGGACACCAAATAGTTAAGAAATGTCAAGGGCTTCCTTTGGCTGTTGTTTTGATTGCTGGAGTAATTGTTAGAGGAAAGAAAGAGGAAAAGGATTTGTGGCTTAAGATTCAACATAATTTGGATATTTCTGCCAACAACAATTTAGAGATTATGAAGGTTATGCAATTAAGTTATGACCATTTACCATACCACCTGAAGCCGTTGTTGCTTTACTTTGCAAGATCTCGAAAGGGCAAACGAACTCCAGTCTCTAAGTTGATGCAGTTGTGGATGGCTGAAGGTTTTCTGGACCATGATATCCGATCCAAGAATAGTTTAGAGGAAGTAACTCAAAGTTACTTGGATGCTTTAATTTCCAGTAGCCTGATAATGGTGGATCATATCAAGGGGAGTCACCCATTTTTTGTAAAGATCAAGGTTTGCTATGTGCATGATGTTGTGCATGATTTTTGTTCAGTAAAAGCGAAAAAGGAAAAGTTTTTCACGATAATCAATCCGGGTAATCGATTTCATGTTTCTGATTTCCTACACCATCGTCTAACCATTCATATTGAGGAGGGCCAACTCCACAAAAAATGTGTTTTGTTCAAGTCTAAGAAGTGTTCATTTGGTAGTAAGCATCTCATATCTTTGAAAGTTAGCGGTTCGCTTCTCCACTTCAGGTATATCTGTCATACAAGACACTTTGGACTTGTTAGAGTGTTGCAACTGGGTAGCATCCTTTTGAAAGATTTTTTAATGGAAGAAATAGGGTCCCTATTTCATTTGAGGTTCTTAAGGATTCATACTCTTAATGGAAAAGCTATCCCAGAATCGTGGTTGAACCTCCAGAATCTGGAAACTCTGTTGATCAATACTGGAGATTCCACCATGGTATTACTGCCCAGAATGTTACAACTGTCAAAGCTGAAACATGTGAAAATTGACATGAGTTGTTTCTTTGAAGAGGAAGAGGACGCGAAAAAAATCCAAAGTAGAATATTGAAAGGTGAGAATTCAAAGCTGACAACTTTATCCCAAGTCAATATCTCATATTCTGTAGGCACGAATGATGCTCTGGAGAAGTTCCCAAATCTTCAGCACCTTGATTGCACCATAGTGGAAGCGCAGCACCCTCCTACCCAGGACGATTGGTTTCCCAAGCTTGATGTGCTTAATAAACTTGAATCATTCATAGCAATATACTGTTGCCCCGAGTTAATCCCTCAACCCAAAAAATATCACTTCCCTAGCAGCTTGAAAGAGTTACGGTTGTATCGGTTTACCATGACACCTGCTTTGTTGTCTGCAATCGTGGCATTACCTCAGCTTGAAATTCTGGCGATTATCGACTCTGATTTAGTGAAGGATAAGTGGTATGCAAGTGAGGGCATGTATCAAAGTCTTAAGACTTTGAGTTTGCGACTGGTCAACCTTTCAGAATGGGAAGTTAATAGGGGAGCTTTTCCCAAGCTTGAGGAATTAATACTAGATAATTGTTACAAGCTTACGGAGATCCCTTGTGCATTTGCGGATAGAGAAACTTTAAAGTCCATTCATTTAATGAATATGAACCGTGAGGTTGAAGATTCAGCCATTGAGATTAAGAAACAGATAATAGAATTCGCAGGAGAGGACAGACTTCAAGTCCATTTATCAGATGTGTTGTATGAATTATAGAAGCTGAAGAAGAGGATGAAACAGAGGTAATTAATTATTACATCTTTACCCCTACATACATATATACTTCATTTAATTAAAATCATACTATATATAACTTGCAGAATGCCCAAAGGACACAAGGATAGAACAACAATGATGAAAGAAACAACACATGCATTTGCAGTCTCAGTTCATCTGCGTGGTTCTGGAGATGCTCAAAATTAATGTTTTGAGAGTTTTCTTTCATGTTTTTTTGTTAGTTATGAATCTTATTTCGTCTCTAATCTCTGATATAAGATTCTAGTTTTTTTGTTAACTTGAAGGGTTGTGATTTTTGTGAAGATTTGTGATTTTTCCGTAAGGTGTGATTTTTACGAAGGGTTATGACTTTTCACTTTTCTAAAGGGTTGTGTGACTTTCCGATAAGGCACTATAAACACATGTTCACACTATCATTTATTTTTGTGAAGATTTGTGATTTTTCCATAAGGTGTGATTTGTGAAGATTTGTTATTTTTAAGAAGGGTTTTGACTTTCGACTTCTATAAAGGGTTGTAACCTTTCCTAAATGATCATAACTTTTTACTCAACAACGATTTTCTCGACTTCTTCTTCTACTACTAAATTCTAGTATTCTAAATGTACTTTACTGCAATTGAGTGGTTCGATGACACCGTAGTTTTAAATACCACTAAATTCTGTTAGAAAAAATGGTCATAATTCTCAGATCCAATTAACTGAAGAGGGATGAGAGAACTACGTGGAGTATCATTAGGTTGAAGATAAAGTGGATGATTATGATCAATTTATGCTCTTATGTTACCTAGACTAGATTTATGTCCTTAAGCTACTACGATCAATTCTTCAATTAGTGCAGATTCGTATATGCGCTTTCATATCATGTTAACTTAGATAAGCGGAAGCTATTAAGCTAAGTTATATGAAGTTATGATTTCAATTAACTGTTAGGATATGAAATTTGAGATCAATGAATAATATTCGTCTAACCATCTTTACGATACGATAACTCCACTAAGCAAAAATTAAAGAGCACCATAAAACAAGGATAAAAGTGCAAATGACCCAATAGTACTTGTTGTAGAATATGTAATGTTTGATTTATGTTTGCAGCCTTAACGTGAACTTTCAATTAGTCTAATCAAAGTCTAGATCTAAAATTGATTAATTTAAGTTTATAATTACTTTGATAATTAATTAAAACCAAATCTTTCTACTCGAAAATCGAAATGATAGCTGACAGTCTCCATAAATATATTTGCAAGTGAATAGCAGAATAAGCATTATCAGTTGACATTTCCCGGATTAATTTAGGATGCATTTCATCGTAGATTTACACTAACATTTAAATAAAATAAATAAATAATTTTTATTACCAAATGGGTCCTTTATTTTATTGGCAGATCCATTGTCTGTTTAGTTGACTAATAATGGAGAGATTTTTAGGAATATGGGGCTGTTTCACCTTAAACAGAGAGTTCGAAATAAAGAAGATTTTGTTGGGAGCGTCAAACCCAAATGAGCTTTTGCAGTGTTGCGCAATGCTCCAATATAGACTCCGGACACCGGGTGAAAAACCCATAAAAAAGAGAGATTTTTAGGAATGTGAACAATTGTTATCTAAAAATTCTTGATAGAACTAACTATTAGTAAGTCTATTTTTTGAAGAAATTAATTCTTATTATCAATTAAACTAAATAGAAAAAAAGTTGACTGTTTCAAAAAAATTAATATAAATATAAAATTGTAAGAACATGGTATTGTGAGCTATTGACCAACTTAACCTTTTGTCATTTTTCTCTTATTGTATGTATGGCTATATAGTCATATAAATTCAAGGTAGCCTTAATTAGCATTTAAGTTTTATTGTGAGCTCTCTCATAATATATCACATTCATCATTTCCTTGTTAATTTTCATGGTTTTAACAGCTTGGAAGTAAAGAAAAAGGTAAACTATTTTTTTTTCTATTTCATTTTTTTACATGTAATATTTGAATACAAAGGCAGAGAGAGTAATATCCCCTTTTTGTATTTATTTGTGGATTACATACATACATAAGAAACAGAAAAATGGTTTATATTTTTGACTTGATAATTATAGAATGTATATGTTGGATATATAGAATGATATGTAGGAGTTTCTACCATCTTTGCTTACAATCTTAAGGTTGAAGGCGAGAGCATGTTTATGAGTTTATCATCCTAGCAAGTGGGCTACCTACTGGAGCTTCGACCAAGCACTACCGGTCAATTTCGCTTAATTTGGGGCTACCCCTGACTCTACCATTATTATAGGGGTATGGGTTCGAGACAAAGAAAGATCAAATGTACTTTAGTAAGAGTATAATGGATATAGTGAGCCTACTTTCTTACCCGATATGATCTCCTGCTGTGAAGTAGGAGATTTTCACCGATAGAGCACAATTGTCGATAATTAAGCATCAATATATAGTAGTTGAAAGAGTTTATATCCTAGCATCAAGATTAGTCTCCGACCCTCTTCTCTTCCCTCTCTAAACTGTTTTTTCAATTTTCTCATTTTGGTTGGTCAAAAATTTTAGAGAACATTTTCTCTAAAAAAAATATCATGTATTTATCCTGAATTATTATTTACATATATATCATTTTATTAATTCAAAACCTATAAATTTAATAGTTTACATTCACAATTTTTGCTTGTTGCCGTTCTTTTTACTTGCATTTCTAATTTTTATCCTTATTAAATGTGCATGTGATTAGTTGAAACATCAAATCTCTAGAAATTGAAGGCTGGTTCGAGGTTAGAGATTAAATGGAAAAAGGAACGTCATCGGTATGTCTACTAATACTTTTACATGCTCCAAATTAATACTTTCTTCGTTTTTTTTTGTCATGTTATGCTTTTTGAGAGTTAATTTGACTAATTTTCATAGCTAAATTAGATTATATTCATTCAATATTTAAAATAAAATTTTAGATATTCAAAAAATATGCCGAAAGTACTATAAATTGTAATTTTTTTTATATCAATATGATGAAAAAATACAACTTAAAATATTAGTCAAAATCTATATCGTTTGAGTCTTAAAAAGAAAACTATGACAACTAAAAAGGAATGGAATTAGTAGTGATTAAGCTGGTTACTTCTCTAGCAATTACTAGTTTTACATATTTTCGTAACAATACTATTGGTATGTTTTACATGGCAATGTTAACGCCTATTAAAATATATAGAGGCATATTGTCACGACCCAAAAATGGACGTGATGGCACTCGTCTTATCCCATCAAGACAAGTCAGCCTAAAACTCAACCATTACAATAAAATGCGGAAATTTTATAATCAACTCAAAAATACCCCCAACATCTGGTTGTCACGTGTACATGCCTCTAAAGTAATACAATTTATTCAAAAGAAAAACACAAGTCTCAAATGACCCTGTTTCTAGAATAGAACAAGATCATAATTAAGGAGAAAGAAAAGTCCGCTGAAAATGACAAGCAGCTACCTCACAAACCTCCACAAGAAGCCTCAGACAAGGAGAAGAGAAAATATCACAAAGGTCCGGGCTAATAACCTACAAAAAAATGTAGTAGCAAGGGATGAGTACCAAACCACACGATACTCAGCAAGTAAACCTCTAAACACAAGCTAAGGGGATAGAATACGGGTACTCCTTACACCCCAACCGAACCTTCATAACTACAACCTGCATAAAACCAGCCCAACCTAACAATTCACAATTTACAAGCACATATCTCAACAACAACATTCTAACAATCACATATTCTACACAACAAGCTCAGGATTCATCAATTACAACCTCCACAACTACAACCTGCTTAAAACCAGTCCAACCTAACAGCTCATAATTCACATAGCACACAGCTCAACCACAACACTCTAACAATTACATATCCTCAATATTCATCAATCAAATTCTACAGAAAGGCACTCACAAAGTTCCACAGAGAGGCACTCACAAGATTAGCAAAACACAATATCAAGTTCACTAATGATAAGTATGTGCAATGCAATGGAATGCAATGTCAAGTATAATGATGCATGTCTGACCTAGTGATACACACCCATTGTCTCTCAATTCGGGACCCATGGGGGACATATCTGTCCATGCATCCATCGCGGAGCGTGATACGACCCTCGATAATAGTAACCATCGCAGCGCGCGATACGACCCTCGAAATATAGTATTCATCGCGGCGCACGATACGTCCCTCGAAATATAGTATCCATTGCGACGCGTGATACATCCCTCGAAATGGTACGTCCTCTTTCATTTCTTATTCTTTCTCAATTCACATAACACTTGTCACAACCATGTCTCAGAACAATGCAAATGACATGTTCACACAAATAATGAGGAGATGACCATTTTCATAACATTGCACAATTCACAACAACACAATCATGATACAACATCAACAAAGATTCAACAAGCCTTTCAAACAATTCTCAACACATCACACAAACAATTGATCATATTGCCTTTT